TTCGTGGGATACATTCTGGAGATGTTTAGCAAATTTTGCGGATGATACTGGCCTACGAAAACGTATCTTTTGAATGAATTACCTTTGTAAATACATAAGCGATTAAATACATGAAAATCATAATACAAAAATACTAATTTGTAATAATAAACAAAGTAAATAATCACTTTATCCCATCACTTTCTCTCTCTCTCTATCTTTTGATGCGGCGTGTAGAGTTCCAGATGCGATTCGAGGAAGAGCCCAAAATCGCGTATAGCAAGTTCGTGAATAACGAGGTAATACTGTATAGAAAATGAAAAGCATAGATGATAACAACACAAATGTATCAGTAAACCTAAACTTTGTTGTTAATCAATGAATCATTGCATTATTGTATTAACCCCCAAGTGAACATCCACACAGCATGTCACTTGAGACAATTTCCATGGGGTCAATGGTTCAAATCATAGAGCTGTCTGGGTTTCTTTACGGCAAATAATAAAAGACAATGATTTGCAGAGGTCCATTACCCCCATGGTGTACACAGCTTTACGTCACAGCTCTTGTGCGTGAACCATTTTATTTTTTTATGCAAACACCAATATTGAAACTGCAAGTAAACGCGTGCCGTCCACTGCCCAATCAGAGAGCTGGGGGCGAGTTATTGACTCGGAATGTAACACCCCCTCACCCACGCCTCCCAGCACAAAATGTAATGAATTACCATCGTTTTGGATGGCGATTACATTAATTAGTTCTTTTACTTCTTATCTTTTCTGTCTCAGACAGCACGGTGCACCTTATGAGAGGGCGATGTAGTCAGCACCATGCCCGGCCACCTTTGTCTCACCAAACCAAGTACTCATTTGAGGCCAAGTTGACCTTTGAGAGGACCCCAAGACCAGTTCAGATATTCGTCACTCATGTTGACCGTGAGCGGGTCACCGGGTTCCAAAGTTCAGCATGCCAGCCACCAGGCTACCTCTCCCCACTCTGGGTAGCATACATCCTGTAACGCAACATATAGAATACATCTTTAAACTATACTTTTTGGTCTTTCGGTAAAGTCACGTAGGTATAAAATAAAATAAATCACGACGTTTCGGGCGTAGCACAAGCGTCCGTCATCAGGTGGGAAAGCATGATCTGCTGCTGAGGCAGACTGTTTTAAAATGTTTAAAATGGGTGTAGCCCAAGGGTCATGAAGAAGTGGCCAGGGCTAGTGATGTTAATGTGATAAATTAGCATGTAACTGTAAGAGAGGAATCTTTAAACTAAACTACTAAAACTATTTTTTTTGTTACCAGGAAAGGCCCACTTAGCTCTATAGCTTTTTTTCAGAAGCGACCTGGCCACAAATGATAGCGCAACGAAGTGGGCATGTCGATTCTAAATGTGGAGGGAAAAACCGGAGGACCTGGAAGAATGATAAAAGAATCCGCGTGACCAAAGGAAGAACATACAGGCATCAGGGTCGCGATCAAACTGACGACCTCCTGTATACCAAGCGAAGTAGTGAACAACTTGCCACCATGGCATCTCACGAAGCTCAACCTGGTTAAATACATTTTGAACGGTCCTTGAAAGTTAATCTTTCTTTTGGTAACATTCAATTCGCAGCTCTTTATTAACTATGACTGGGTCGTGAACATGTTAGTCGCTGTCAAAGTCATGTTGGCCTGTGCACTTTAACTCAAGCGAAGCACAGACGTTCAATTAAGGCATTATTCCGTGAAGACGATCGTCCACTTTGATCACCGTACGTACAGCGCTTTAAATCGAGACCTTACATGATTTGAAGAGCAATTGTGCACTGCATTAATGTTACATATGCATTTATTCTGCTGCCCACAGAAGGGTAGGGTCACTCAAGTGAGATTTCAAGGGTCAGAAACCACATCCGAGCTGGATAAGAAGTAGGGGTCTGCTGCATTCACCTCCCACCCAAACACGACCTCTAACGTGTGAATACAACTTGAATGTATGTTGAACTTCTTTCATACCGTACATAGCCAACCGTGCATGTGTGTACTCCTGCTACAGAGCAGTGCTGAACGTGAGTTCATGATGTGTGCCTACAGTTCTGGTGCGGGCATGTTGAACACGGCGGCACAATTTGGGCATGGCAATCGCTAAGTGTTGTGGCAGCACGCTGCACATTACAAAACCAATCATTGTGAAGGAATAAAATAATACCATTTGCGTTTACATAGCAAAATCCATCAAATGTATCTCTAGATGCCCTGTAGATTGTAGGACTCATCACCTGGTTCTTTACTCTGACATGGGCTGGGAAACACAGGGGCTATAAGTGGAAACTGCCCTCCCAACTTCTGTACAGTAGAGCCTCAACAATTCATGCACATGCTGGTCATGACAACCAAACAAAAACACAAAACTATTTATTTGATTAAAGCTAAACTATTTATTTATTTTACCAGGTAAGGCCCACTGAGCTATAGCAGCTCTTTTCAGAAGCAACCTGGCCACAAATGATATCTAAACAAAGCGGCTTATCACATGCAAATCTATAGCAGCCAAATACTCTACGCATGTGGAGGAAAAAACCGGACTCACAAAGAAATCCACGCGACTTAGGGGAGAACATGCAAACTCCAAATATACAGGCGTTAGGGTCGAGATCAAACCCACGACCTCCTGTATACCAGGTGAGCAGAGGAGGGCCGTCAGGGCCAGCAAGGCCTTCTCTGCTGGCCTAGAGATTGTCAGAATCAGAAAATGTTATTTTTATAATTTCATATATATTTTCATTAATGCTATATGTATTTTACAAAGTTCGTTCCCATAAGTCTATTAACGTCATTTCATTGCTACTCTCTTCCTCAGTTGCGCTGCTTCCAGTGCAGCTCATATAAATTAAAGCTTTTATCCAATAAGATGGTCCACCTGTGCTGTCGTCTCTGGGTGAAAAATCCACCCTGAGGCCTGCAGAATTTCGAGTGAATCCACTCTGCTGTTGAGGCAAATGGAGACGATGTTGTTGTCATATTCTTTAACCAATCAGATTTCGAGTTTTCCATGATGGGCATATTCTTTGACACACCGGAGCCTTCTAGCATTTTTCACGTGGCGTGATCGGAGGGCCAGTTAGCTAACTGAAGTAAAACTAGCTAGCATGTAATGTAGCATCATCTAAGATTGATTTAAACTTTCTTTCGTGACGTTTAGATTTTTTAATGTAGTGCTTTAGATTTTATGTTTAGATTTTTACTGAGACCTGTTGTTTTTTAACGCACAATGGCAGTTTTAATTGCGGGAGAATAGCACTGAAGGCCTAGATGTAAAATACACGGCCCGACACTGCAGGCAAGGTAGTTAACATCTCACAACCGTGGAGCGTTACTCTTGCAACCTGGGGGAGCAAAACTCTTAAAATCTACGTCTTTTAAAACAGTTTCATGGATCTCTTCCAGGAGTGGCTTAAATTTCAGAAAATCTGCGTAAGAATGCGATGGAGGTATTTGCCGATTGAAAGTCACTGGTGTTGGCCGTGAGTGGCAATCAAACTAGGATCACCAGGTTCGTAGTGCAACACACTAACCGCTACACTATCGCTCCCCAACATACATATATACATTAGGCCACCGTGGTGTTCAGCAAGTCACCAAAAAAAGCTAGAGCTCGCAAATAACCGTACTGTACTACTCTTGCCGGTGTCACACACTCAATGTTCCCGTGCAAATTAATTTTTAAAAACTGCAAAATCACGCCTTTTGGCGTCCTCTGGTCGAACACCTTTTGAGACGACGCTCCAAATAAAGCTGTCTCTGGTGTGGACCAATCAGTTTCAAGGACAATGCATCATACTATCAGAGTATTTTTTTGTTTGCATTCTGACCACTAGTATATGTGGTCAATGTAGACAATGATTCCTTGTAAGAGGTTTCAGTTTAGTGTTTTAACATCTTAACACAGCTGTTTTGTTGCCAGAAAAAAGGGGAAAACCTATTCTCATAGAATGATCTTCTGCACTGCGCAGTACTCGACAATACAGTATTGGTTTTAGTACAGGCCTGAATAGGGCACACAGGCAGACAGAGATCCACACACACGCAGTATTCCCTCATTATTCACGAATTTGCTATCCGCGTTTTTGGCTCTCCGCGAATCGCATCCGGAACTCTGCGCGCCTGCATCGGGAGAGAGAGAAATAAAGTGATGAGAGAAAATGTGATGAGAGAAAATGTGATGCTATAAAGTGATGAGATAGATTGATGACAGATAAAGTGATGAGATAAAGGTAAGTTCACTTATAAACTATTACTTAATAGTTCAATATTTATATATACTTTGTTTATTACAACCATTTTTTTTGTGTTACGATAATTTTCACGTACAGTATTTAATAGCTTATTTATGTATTTATCGGTAATTCATTAAAAAAAATGATTTTTTTTGCAGGCCAATATCAACATCCGCAACATTCGCTATTCACGAGGAAACACTGTAAAGCACTTTGGGAAGGGGCCATGCATTAGGACGAGGCCAATTAAAGGTACAACAGTGTACACGCTTCACCACTGTGTACAACACACACAGGGACCGTGACATGAATCATCGATTAAAATATCAAAGTGGGTTCCCTGCTCAAATGAACACTGGGCCAGTGCTGATCTCCACGTTTACAGCTCTGAGCCGAACGGTGAAAATTCCACATTCCTACTTATGGGTCAAGTCCACCCCAAAGGACCGCCGTTGACGTTGTTAGTAATAAATACGATATATTCATAGCACGCGCTGCATTATAGCATGTCAAGGTGTTATGTTATGTACGCGTTGTCAAGAGAGCGCTCGCAAGGCCCTGTGCGTGACGCCGATGCATTACGCACAGCGCGCCCGATGAATGTGTCAGTGCGATGCAGCACACAAGCACCCTGTACCGCAGTGCGTGCTTATTACACCAGCCCAGCACAGCACTTCACACCGTGCCATACACAGCCAGCGCCGTGTGTCACACGCACACAGCCAATGAAGCTGCAAGCACCGTGGGTATTCACCTACAGGAGCTGCTGCTGCTGCTGATTCACAGGACAATGCCCAGGAGCGTGATGCACGCCTGCAGGAAGGAAGGGCTGCATGCCGCATACAAACAATGGGAATGATGTCAGGAAGATTCGTGTAGTTCATCTTTCAAGTATCACCCAGGTGGCACAAGGTGTATGTGTGTGTGTGAATACACACGTGTGTATGTGTGTGTGAATACACACACGTGTGAATGTGTGTGTGTGAATACACACACGTGTGTACGTGTGTGTGAATACACACACGTGTGTATGTGTGTGTGAATAAACACACGTGTGTATGTGTGTGTGAATACACACACGTGTGTATGTGTGTGTGTGAATACACACACGTGTGTATGTGTGTGTGAATACACACACGTGTGTACGTGTGTGTGTGAATACACACATGTGTAAGTGTGTGTATGTGTGTGTGAATAAACACACGTGTGTATGTGTGTGTGAATACACACACGTGTGTATGTGTGTGTGTGAATACACACACGTGTGTATGTGTGTGTGAATACACACACGTGTGTACGTGTGTGTGAATACACACATATGTGTAAGTGTGTGTGTGTATGTGTGTGTGAATACACACACATACACATACACGTGTGTATTCACATACGACATACACACGTGCGCGTATATACTTTACTACAGGAAAAATAACATGTATCATAGAGATGAACATAGCCCTAAGGGGCGTTATGTACTCATTAGGGAGCAACTGCTCTTGCTGGGTCATTAAGTGCTGGGTATGCGTGATACAGTACGGGGCAGTACAGGCACTTTGATGCGTGCATTAACAATGCAGTGCCACGCTACAATGTTGGCATCTATGAGATTGCAGTGCTTTGATTCAAGGTCATAAGGTCACCAGAGTAAACACGCGAAGCCATTACTTCTCCCCTAGTGCCAGACCATGCAGATGTTGACATCTGACCCCCGGCATCTGCCTCAAGGGCTTCCCTTGTTTACAAAGCTTGACATTATTGTTCTTTAACTAAATATATAAACAAAAGATTCCCACACCCACCCCGTAGACTGTAGGGGCAAGTGCTGTTAGCGAATGTCACCTCGCCTTTTTTTGAGGCCGAGTAGACCTATACTGAATCTCTGGATATATATACTGAATCTCTAGTCATGACGGTCAATCTAACTATAGACTGTTATTGCCACGTGGTACTGTACACGAAGGGGGATTATTTTTAAACACAAATACACGATCAGAATGTTTATTTATACTGGAGGAATCCGATGAGCTATAAAGCTCTTTTTTTTCAACAGTCGTCCAGTAAATACACCAAGCGATGTACCAATCAATACAACACAACTATGATGTTGTTGTTATGCAACAGTCGTGAAACACGACATTTTTTTTTCAGTACATTCAACACACACACAAAACAATAATAATTACACACACACACAAAACAATAATAATTACAAACACAAAACAATAATAATAATTACACACACACACAAAACAATAATAATTACACACACAAAACAATAATAATAATTACAAACACAAAACAATAATAATAATTACACACACAAGATAATAATAATTACACACACAAAACAATAATAATTACACACACAAAACAATAATAATAATTACACACACAAAACAATAATAATAATTACACACACAAAACAATAATTACACACACAAAACAATAATAATAACACACACAAAACACTAATAATAATTACACACACAAAACAATAATAATTACACACACAAAACAATAATAACACACACAAAACAATAATAACACACACAAAACACTAATAATAATTACACACACACACAAAACAATAATAATTACACACAAAATAATAATTACACACACACAAAACAATAATAATTACACACACAAAACACTAATAATTACACACACAAAACACTAATAATTACACACACAAAACAATAATAATAATAATTACACACACAAACAATAATAATTACACACACACACAAAACAATAATAATAATTACACACACAAAACAATAATAATTACACACACACAAAACAATAATAATTACACACACACAAAACAATAATAATTACACACACACAAAACAATAATAATAATTACACACACACAAAATAATAATTACACACACACAAAACAATAATACACATACAACAATAATAATTACACACACAATAATTATTACACACACACAACAATAATTACACACACACAAAACAATAATTACACACACAAAACACTAATAATTACACACACACAAAATAATAATTACACACACACAAAGCAATAATAATTACACACACACACAAAACAACAATAATTACACACAAAACAATCATTATTATTACACACACACATGAGACGCATGTTAAAATACATCGCAGAGCTGTAATTATTAACAATTCACACGCGACAGCCCCCTTTGTCTCACCAACCTCCTCCCCTACAGTGTTGACGTTCACATTTAAGGCCGAGTCGACCTAGAGGAGGTCCGGAGTCGAACCACGACCCACCACCACCACCACCCGTTGGGGTTGGCGCGAACCACTGCGCCACCGCTCCTCACAAAGGTCCCCCGTGTAGCCCACACAGGCTGCTGGGGCAAGTGGTGGTGGTGGTCGTCGTTTAACCAGCAACCAAGCCCGGCCGCCTTTGTCTCCCCTGTGCTCATGTTGTATACGCACCGCGCGCAGGTAGATTTAGGGCCGAGCCGACCTAGGGGAGGCCCAAGAACCGTTCCAGACGATCACCACCGACGTTGGCCGTGAGCGCGGGGAATGGAACTCTTCACGGATTCCTAGCGCAGTGCGCCAACCACCGCGCCACCGCTCCCTCCCATCGACCACGCACACGGGCGGCGCACCACCACCACAACCACCACCACCACCGCGCCGCGCCAAGAGCCGCAGGCTTCGTCCGCTGCTGTGAGCTCGGGCAGCCGGGACGAGCGCCTCCTCCTCCTCGTCTCACTCCACTCCCTCCTCTCTCTCCCTCTCTCCCCTCGCTCTCTCTCGCTTCCTCCTCCTCTTCTCTGTGCTCTCTGCGTCCTGCCGCACGCCGTTACCCGCTCATTGCAAGGCCTCTTTCCCCAGGCGGCCGCTGGGAGCGCTGTGGCTCCCAGCCTGCATGGGGCATTTAAAAATAAAGCCACCACAACCTGAATACAGTAACTGGAGCGGGTGGACAAATCCGTGTGGCAAACCCCCCCCCATCTCCAATCCACCGGTCACGGGGAAAATGTGGAATTTCCATTCACCCTGTTTCGAGGGCACCAATAGAAATGAGAAAATCACAATGTTTGAGCAGGGTTTGGAATTTAAGTCTCAGCGAAGCCATACATGGTCCTGATTTGGGATGTTTGGCCAGTTGTCTTAAGCAGCGTTTTACGCGAGACGGATAATGTCAACAATAATTTCGTACAAACAGGTCAGGAACACATTTTATGTAATTGTCGTGTACTGAAGAGTTTCCACCTTTTCCATAGACCAAACGCGGACATAGTGTTCAGTCAGCCTAGGTCTATCCAAATTATTCAGTGTCCTGTAATTAAGTTCAACACAACACGGGTATCAGATCTCGATACGAATCAATTCTTATTCTTAGCTCTTTCGGTAAAGTCACGTTGAAGGGAAACAATAAAATAATAAAATATATAAAACAATAAAAATTCTCACGACGTTTCGACCACACAAATATTTTGCCTGATGACGACCGTTTGTGTTATGGTCGAAACGTCGTGAGAATTTTTATTGTTTCCCTTCAACGTGACTTTACCGAAAGAGCTAAGAATATGAATTACTGCAGTCACGAAAGCTTTAAATCAAAATTTAGAATAAATTCTTGCCACCCGAACACAGATTTCGTGACTCGGATTCTCCAGGTCAAGCTCAGACAGGTGGCAACTCTACATGTACCAGCCGTAATAGATGGGGGTTTTTTTTGGGTAAGATCGTGTGAGTAAAATGTGTGTCGTACAACCTTCATCCACCCAACAAATAATGTAGTTTTAAATTTTGATTTAAAGCTTTCGTGACTGCAGTAATTCATATTCTTAGCTCTTTCGGTAAAGTCTTCAACGTGACTTTACCGAAAGAGCTAAGAATATGAAATAATGTAGTTGTCACCTGAACAAACGTGCCAATATATTACTGCTTCAGCAACAGCACCACTGGTGAGATGGAGAGCGATCCACCACACTTTTCACTCAGGCAATCTGACCAAAAAGTCAAGCATGAATCATTGACTGGAACGCTCTTCCTTACAATATTCGGAAGCCACTGGATCTATGCACAATTAAATACTCTAGATTTTAAACTAATTTGTTTAGAACTGATTTTTGTGCTCAGTTTGTTGTCCTTCCCACACACCTCAGATTAGCACAGTTCTCTACGTACGGTGCGAAAGAAGTTCAACATACATACATTGCATTGGTCGCGAAAGCCAACACGCATCAAATTTACCAGCCACCCCGCATGTACTCCAACTGGTTGGGTATCTCGCGAACACGTTAGAATTGGAATGAGCCACCAACCAACCCCACGTCTGGATTACACACACAAGTGCACGCATACACATTTGGGCCATGACTAAGCGATGACTTGGGGTTACGCACACTGGTCGTGTATTCAGCGATATCCCTCAGTGATGTAGTGGCAAGGAATTGTAATTTGAAAATCATTAACTATTAACCGTATTATACTCTTGGTTCTATTGTTTCCCTTCAACGTGACTTTACCGAAAGAACCAAGAATATGAATCACTGCAATCACGAAAGCTTTAAATCAAAATATTAACCGTATTCTCCGGATTATAAGGTATTCCGGAAAATAAGACGCACCCAAACTTGTGCCTGGTTTCCTGTGTAAAGAATATGGTCCCACAAGTACCAACTTTTGTTTTAAATTACAGAATAAACGTGCATCTTAGAATCCAGAGAATACGGTACATACAGGAGCCCAATACTGTACCGTAAGTTTAAAGCTAGAAACACTGGCAGCCCTGAGGCAGCTGTGTCAATTCCACGTTATCATGGCAGGGGCCAGTCTTTCAGGACAACCACTATTGACCACTATTGACTCCCCAGCTTCCACAGTGGTATTTTTGTTGTTGATAATTTAGGGAAATAATTGTAAACAAATATTTAGTGTGAGTCAAATGTCACGTTATATTAAGCGTTAAACCAAATGTATGAAGAATTAATTATAATTTCGGCTGTGTGTCATCTACCCATGTTGTCTTATTTAATTGTTAAATATAGACTCACTCTATAATTATATTCTTGGTTATTTCGGTAAAGTCACGTAGAAGGGAAACAATAAAATAATAAAAGTATAAAACAATACAATTCTCACGACGTTTCGACTGCAACACAAGCAATAAATCATCAGGTGTGAAAACCACAGCAAGAAAATTTGAAAGTGGCGTTTTTTTTTAACGTTAGCACCACGGAGAGCGATTTAACAGTTATTCAGATGAACGAGTCCATCTATGTTCGGAAAAGAGTAGGGGGGAGACGAAAATAATGGATGCGGTCTGAAAGCCACCGTAAGCGTGAACAATCAATTAAGACCCGAAATGGTTTAGCAAATCCTTCCAATGACTGCTAAGCCAGAATCCATCTTCTCGGTTGAAATTGTCTCTGTGTTTGTATATGTGGATAGCCTCACTCTATAATTGTTTTGAGAGGTACTGTACTGTACGGTACTGTATTCCAGTAATTTAACTCGATTGATGACTGTAATTGCAATTCCTTTAGTGGATTGGTTCCAAAGTTCAGGTTGAAAATTTCGACGCAAAAAACATAATCAGATGTAGGGAAAGAGACGCATGTAGAGCAATAGCCATTGCGAAATGTGGTTTGAAACATTGACGAGAAAAATAGAGACACGAAGAGAGACCTGGACGGGGAAACGAGGACATGGAAAGACTGAGAAAAATACGGAGTGTCCGAGAGAGAGGCAGAAATATACACAAACAGAAACATGCCGAGACACCGACTGGCACAGGAGGCACTGTCACGAGACCAGTAATATCGATGTTTCAGCCGGGGGTTGCATTACTGGTGGGACGGGTTACGTAATGGGAGAGTGTTGTGCCTCTTGGGCCACCCGGATGGAGCCAATTTCCTTCTCGCAACGATTTCAGGAGGTAAGGCGCAGACAGGCGGGGGAGCTTGTTTAGCATCAATCGGTGAACTAATTATAAAAGGGAGTGATAAACAGGAGCCAGCAGCAGTAATTTCAATTGCCCAAGCTCTACAGTCTTCTGTTTGTTAAGATGTTTAAGCCCATAATACACGTGGGAGGAAACCAGAGGACCTGGAGGAAACCCAAGTGTGCGAGAGAGAAACAGTATATCCCACCCAGAAGGGATATATTATATTAGTTTACATTTGCTGTACCACCTTCTCCTGGCAGGTCAGGATATGGCACCTCGATGTCCACGGGAAGGGATTTTAGTAACACCTGTGCAGTGATCCACAAACCCTCACTGCCTCCTACACAGTGTTGGAATACAAGCCACGTGCATAGCCACCACCGCCCAGCTAACGGGAGAGAATAATGAGAGTGAAATTGGACATAGGCAAAGATCCCCCCGTGTAGCCTTAACAGACTGTTGGGGCAAGTGCTGCTGGCGAGTAGCACGAATGAAGGCCGACACGACACACCAGGGGGTGGGTGGCCAGCACCACACCTGGCAGAGACCCGGGATCGGTTCAGATATAAGTCACTGGTGTTGACCATGATCAGGAATCGAATTCGGGTCGCTGGGTTCGTAGCGTGGTGCGCTAACCACTATGCTACCGCTCCCCTCAGTGAAATTGGACACGCAATTTTGTAGTCCTTCCCCCGTAAACACGTATTGTGCGAAAGAAGTTCAACATAAACTCCTCTTGGAGTTGTACCGCTCAGTTGCGGATGCCGTAGTGTTGTAGTGCCATAGCTGACACATTTTTAGGCGTTCAAATAAAAGTCACTATCTGTCCATTAAACATGCAGCATTGAGCCAATGTTGGCACCTATGGTTGAAACAGTTGGACCAACTTTGGCCCAATGTTCCATATATACTGGGTTGTGCAAAACAACACTTCAACTTAATGAAGAAGAAGAAGAATAACAAAACAATATGTACGTTGGTTTAATGGTCATGGCAAAATAGTCATTTGATTGTTTTTGTATTTGAAGAAAAAAATACATTTATAACCCGAAATATAAACGTCAGCCTTCTACTTACTACAGCTGTGAAAGGCACCTCAAACACAAAAGGAATTGTACACCCTACCCGAGGGACGCTGGAGTACAAATGTGCTCCTTGAAATGTGAAGTCGTGCTCCTGGACTGGAGACGAGATGGAACAACACAGTGCACGTGTTTCAGAGTATAGGATGTTGCAGATGTCTTGTGGCCTGCAATTAATTTACCCCCGGAACATTTTGTTTTTCTTTGGATATTTATTCCTCACTTAAAGAAACTTGGCTTGAAAAAAAAATGAGAATTAAGTGCGGGGCCACAAGACATTTGGACCATTCTAGATTTAAAGCTTTCGTGACTGCTAGGATCCATACTCTTTGGTTCTATTGGGTAAAGTCACGTAGGTAAAAAATAAAATAACAAAAATCACGACGTTTCGGCCACAACACAAGCAGCCTTCATCAGGTGAAGGGACGACCTTTAAGCTGTGTGAGAAGAAACAAAGCGCCTTGACAAAGGAATTAGCATATAATTTAGCATTGAAATGGCTCATTGAAATAGCTAAGTTAAAGTATACACATCCGCAGAGGCACCCCTTGACAAAGGAATTAGCATAGAATTTAGCATTGAAATAGCTGAGTGATTAGCTTGTAACTGGTCACAGAAATAGCTAGGTTAAAGTCAGAGCATATACATTCACCGAGGCACCTAGTACAAATCAAACAGGAGAATTTAGCGAAACACAACCACGCTCAGACCGCGGACCTTTAAACTGTGTGCGAGCAAACAAGGTGTCCTGACAAAGAAATTAGCATAAAAATTAGCATTTGATTGGCCGATTTTAGAAAAGAGGTGGTGTACGTGCCGGTGGACTTGCCGTTTGGCGCGGGGGGGGGGGTTACCTATTGATGGTGTGAAAAGGGAATTTATAAGAGCTGCGAAAGTTTGGGGTACCACTACTTGAAAAATATACTGTACCATTGAAATTAGTTTAATGTTTAGTTCGATTTAGAACATCTTTCCAATGGTTGCTTAATTTGAAACCATCTTCTCGGTTGAAATTGTGTCTGTGTTTGTAGATCTGAATTGCCTCGTGAACAAATCTCTGATAAAAACCCGTGGGTTTGCAAAGAACCTTGGTATCGGAGAAAATTATATCCAAAATTCTAAACAAACACAAGATCCAGGTCCGGTTCAATACAGTACAAAAAATTCGTGATCTGATCCCATCCATGAAGGATGTCATTCCTGACTTACAGTACCCCGGGGTTTACAAATTGAGTTGTACCTGCGGTGATTGCTATCTCGCGGAGACAAAGCGACATGTCTCTGACCGAATTCGCGAGCACAAATCAGATTTGAAACACGGCAAAACGAATTCTTCTGCCGTGGCTGATCACTGTTACAACACTGTGGGTGATCACGATATAATTTTCTCCG